GAGGCCAGTCCCTCGGATGAGACCGTATAAATCGACGTCCCATGTCGCAGTAGGTGTTGAAATGAAAAGATCCTTCACTACTCAATGGACCTGAGTGCCGAGTATGGGTAAAAAATTTGCAACCCTCCACCGGCAAGTGGTAGCGTCTCCATATGAGTGAAAAAATCTCGAGAGAGACGTTAAACAACAAACAAACAAACTTTGTTAAAAGAATAGTGGAGAAGAACCTTTAAGATTTAAAACAATTGGTGATTCAAAAGATAAAAAAACGATTTTAAGCTAAAGAATACCAAACAAAGAATACTAAAGAACAAATGACCTTAAAAAAGATTAATCCTGAAAGTTGTTATACGTCGTTTCATGGAAAATAAAAAATTGGAGAACTTGGCATGCAATGCTTCTCTGTAATGATGTATTTAATCTAAACAGCATTTTATGATATAAGAAGCATGTAGAATATGGCAACAAACAATGCAAAAGACGCTTAATAGGTTAAAGTTGAATGATTTTAAAAGGTGTTTCTTTCAGATATATAATAAAAAGAATGCAGTGTCTAAGTTTTGCTCTGGAAAAACCCAAATATGTACCTTTTTAGAATATAAAATACGAGTTCATAATGAAATTACGTAATAAAGATTCTGTGAAATTCTCATGACATTCTATACTTTCACCTGCTCTTCTTAGATACATGAATAATTGCTTAATTTCAAATCTGAATGACGTAAAGTTGTAAATTAACAATCAATACAGTATGCTTACATATCTTAACATGGCGCCATGCTAACACTGTGGTTAAGACCTTTGTCACCGAGAATAATAAAAATGGTCAGGGTCAATATGTATCTGTTGTATATGATTCAGAATAGTAAATTTCAGTAAACCATACTGAACATTTTTAATGTCTTGACATTATAAATAAGCATCTGCATGCAAAATGCAGGGACGTAATATACTTTTAGGGAGTGGGAAGAAGACAAAGAAATGCTTAAAATAGGAACGAAAATAGCGTAAATTGCTCAGACTTAAAAACAATCACTGGGGGTTGGCGGACTGGTTCCTTCTGTAGCAAAAAGTTGGACTAATCTAAAAGAAATTTTCATTGATATTACAGCAAAACACTTTTCTTCCTGATTTAAAGTGAGTGTGGGATGCCCTTACCCCATCCCTCTCAAAGAAATTATATTCCTATAACGTTGTTAAATTAATGGTTCTTTGTAAAAGGGTACTTCTTTCAAGTGATGTGCTGGACTTACAAACTCCTAATCATAATGCATTTTTACAATATTTTTATTTACAATTTAACTTACAATTTGGAATGTAAAATGTGTTATCTGTAATTAGTAATAATGTCCATTTTATAACGAATCCATCTATGACCTTTATCGTCAGTGTAGCTCAGACGGTAGAGGGCTCGCTCCGTGAACGAAAGGTCGTGTGTTTGAATCACAGCCGCGACTGATCTAAGTTGATAATAAATAGGTAGCAACTGTTCCTTCGCCATGCGCTCGGCACTTTGGAGTGAAGGTTGTGGGTCTTCCGGACGAGACCTTAAAAACCGAGGCCACGTGTCACGGCAGACGGTGGCACGATAAAGATCCCTCACTGCTCAATGGCCCTGAGTGCCGAGTAAAGGTCTAAATTTGAAGTTCTTCACCGACATGTGGTAACGTCTCTATATGAGTGAAAAATTCTCGAACGGGACGTAAAACAACACGCAATCAATCAATCAATCAATCGATGACCTTTACATGAAAAAAAATATCATCCATGATTTTTCCAATAAAATCAATGCATTAAAAATTTAATATAAGCCCTTGTAATTTACTAGATATAGTAACAATACTACATGTACTTAAACCTAGAAATTAGTTATGTAGTCTCTGGTGTATATATATATATATATATATATATATATATATATATATATATATATATATATATATATATATATATATATATATATATATATATATATATATATATATAATATTTTTGAACATTTTATGTTAATAGTTTTTGAAAGTTTTGTGGGACAGGAAATTGAACCAACTGGATGCATGTACATGTACATGTAAGGCATTGGTATTCTTGCATAATTGCTGTAATTTCAGTATCAAACTATATGTTTGATAGTCGTTTGATATGGATAAACAATGTTAATATAAATTTCGATTGTCAATTCATTAGATAAAAAAAAATCATTATTAAGAGTTATTACAACACCGAGGAAAATATTTGTCATCGATAATTATGAAGGATATGCAAAATTTTCTCATTGCATTTCATTCTAATTTCAAACTTAAATACCAGAATATGTATTATTTTCAGTGTATTATTTGGATGACAATTAAAATAAGAACAAACGAAATGTCAAGTTTCGAATCCTTTTTATTTATGACATTTTAAACAAGGGCAAGAAAATTTTTAACACATTGCTAACTTAAATGCAATTTATTTAGAGGTGAAGAAAATTCATGAATTGGTTTTACCGACACGGGAAGAATGCGAAACTGCAGTAAAAATAATAGTAATCTTATGTGCTTTTTGAATTGATTTTTATGTAAAAGTTTAGCAATTGTTATGTCTTTATTGCACAACAATGAATTACTCAAATCCAATACAGAATATCTATTTCCGAAAATAATATGATATCAACTACAAATGGAGGAACAGGAACACTCTTCATCATTTAAATTAAATATTTTTTCTTTATTATCTATAGAATAATTAAGCATACTCGAGGTAGGTAAAAATCTCCCTTTTTATCGTATAAACACTAACAAAAATATCTATAGTTGACTACAGTTTACTTTGATTTTTTTTTTTGGAAAATTTAGTGTGATATACTTTTAAATGCCCATGTAATTTTTTAATATCAAATTCCATATCAATGATATTATTTTTCAAAAATAATAGTCCTCTATACAAAGTCAAGGAATATATTTTTTTTAGATATTAAAACACGAAAATTAGAATTTGAAGGCATAAGAATACGTCAAATGGCATTTATAATTATAATAATGCGTTAATTTACTTTTTCAGAAAAAAAAAAACTTGATGCTTTCATTTCCTGTAGTGTTAACTACTGTAGTTTTGTTAGGAAAATGCGATTCAAAGCCTAAGAATGAGCTTACGAAACCAGATACTACAGCTTAATTACGTTCATTCATTAATTCTCTTACGAGATAAGTATTTTTAATGCTTCAGATATTGCAATCCAGATAGTTTTAAATTATTAATCAAAATTAAAGAAAAGGATCTATCATTTTGTTATTTGATGACACAAATGTTTTTAATAAAAAGGAAAAAAAAAGTTTAATTAAATTATATCAACACGAGTTGCCACTTACTAAACGAAAAATGTCTTAAAAATACCAATTTTTTGTTTATTTTTTTTTTAATTTGAACACTAACATTAGTTACTTCTGTTTTTAATTATATATATATATATACACTAAAATAATTCTTCATGTCATTAAAATTTGACCTTATTTTGTTATAACCACCCATTTACGTGAGTAAAAAAAATAACATTTAAAGAGTAGGTACATGTAAATGAATCAAAACAAAAATAAAATACATATAATTATCTTCTTTCACTGACAAACTATGATTGGCGCTTCATGTACTAAGAAACACAACCCTTTCCATGAATTGACTTTCAGCTAACTTTGCCGAGACAACGTTGGCATTTACCTTGTGAAAAAGAATATAGATACTGTATTTTCCTTTTAATTATTTTTCTTTTTAGAAGTCCATTTTTCGTCCAATTCTTTGATGATTAATTTATCAATTCTTACCTCAGCATGCAGAAGTGAATTATTTTGTGTTCATGATAAAATATTTTGTGATTTCTCTAAATGATTTAAATTTGAACATTGTCTGGGACTATAAGAAAAAAGTTTATTAATAAGCTTGCATAAAAAAATAATTCCAAACAAGACGACAATAATACCTGCAATTTGATTCTAAAAAAATCGACTATCATCAAATAAATGAAATCAATTCCAGGTTCTTAAAATGAATTTTATTGTCTCAGAAAATATACTTATTAATTACCTAAAAAAAATATTTTCCTTTTGAAAACGCTTCAAACAGCTTAATCTTATCGTTGAAATTTATGCTAAAAATTATTGAAACACAAATTTTATTAATAGCTTAGTTTTCACAGGGACGACGGTTAAATTAAGTGACACTTAGTGGGATTCATAAACAGCAGGAAGCAGGGTGATTAAATCTGTACAAGTACTAAGTAGACTAAACAATAAGTTAGAGTAGAGATTGTGATTTCTGAGTAACGGTTCAACTATGAACATGAATATATTCAAGTTTCCTTGTTTATTCTTAACCGAATCCATCATTCATATAATATTTTAAATGGGAATTTTTATGTGAATTCCGAATATAATCTACATTCATAAAGCAGTTTAATTTTCTTCAGACTTTAATACTCTCATCCACGTATGCCTTCGACACTTATAAAAAACAAGAAAGTCTGCATTTCCAAGCAATAGCTAATGTCACCTCGATCTGACTCCAACGCTGCAATATTGAAACTGAAAGCAAGTGTACATGAAGTTCACATGATCTTCCTGAACAACGTCAGTACACAATGGTCACGTGCAAGAGAGAAACCATTAAAGTTTAAAAGAGGATGTTTTGAAAGATACGCATTCTTTCAAATATATATATATATATATATGTAGATCAGAATGTATAGCAAATGAAACCATCGCAGCGACGCCCCCCCCCCTCCCCATCTTCTCTCTCAGATATGAGTTCCCCTCGAGTCACATTTAGGGCATTTGTCTGTAGGAAAACACCAAGTGTTAAAATGATGCATGTCAAGTGAAGTGTTTGAATCTTCCGTGACAAATCGGAAATAGTAAATGAGTAAATACTTGAAAATGAGGAAAAAAATAACAATAACCGATATTTTAACTTTAGCTATCAATTTTTATGAGAAAAAGGGAAGAACATTTTAGTACGAAAAACCACGAAAATATGAACACGCATTTTCTCATATTATTTTCGGTAATATTTCTTCTATATGCAGAGAACGTACTTTCTTTGGGATGTAAATCGCCAGGCGGGACATCTGTAGATTGGTAAGCGTTTTTTGTGTTCTTTTATTTTGTTTTTTCTCATGAGAGGGAGTTGATAGGTTTACATATTAAATGGAGAACTCTAATGACTCCATGCCTATACAGTAACAATACAGATATATTTTGTCATCGATTAAGTAGCATTAAATATGGATAAGTAATTATGAAATAACAGAATCAAGATGACTGCTCCTACAGGACAGATTCTTTTATTTTATTTTATTTTTAATAGACATTCACTTTTTCATAAGGGATTGCAATTCCGCGCATAGTACGAAGGTTAATCCAAAAGTAATGTCTTTAATAATCAAATGTTATCAACATAATTTGACAAACAAACAACCCTATCTATTTTGATTTGTGCCTTAAAATTTCAATCAATTATATAAAAACACTTCTTTAAAAATATTATAAGAAACACAACTTAAGGTTTTGTCAATCGCCGCACGGCAAGAATGCTACCAACGTCGTTCAGACGTTACTTTTCGGCTCTCATTTTCAGTTCATCCGCATATCTCTTTAACCTCTCACGTGCTTCTCTTTAATAATCTTTACTGCCATTTTGCTATAAACCGTCTTGTTTTGAGTTGTAGCATTAAAATCATTTGAACTTTTTCCAAATGTTATTACTTAATTCATTCCCATTTTGAGATAATCTTATGTATCATCAGATTCAAAATGAGTGATGAAGAGAAACGTCAAAACGACGTCGGTACATTCTTGCCATGCGGCTTCAGACCCAACGTTGTGTTTATTCTAATATATTAAAAAGTACAGCATATATCTGAATGAAATTTAAAGGCAGAAGTCAAAATAGTAGAGGTATAAGTATGTAAAATATAGTTGAAAAAATTTGATTATTATAGATATTATAGCAGTTGTCACATTGCTTTTAAATTCACCGCCGTATACGCGAAAGCCAAATGTTTTTGTATCATCGTTTCCGTTAGTTCTCTTCACATACTCTGTACCCCATGAAAATTAAGATTCTGTTGCAATGACTGTTCATTTGTCCAGAGTATGGCATAAGGAAGTAAAAGTCACGCGTCTTTCTGAAAGGACCTTGAAAAACGGAGTTCTCGTCTGAAGGTAGATGGAAGTGTCGGTTTGATAAAGAACTCTAGTTTCTACCACCGTGCAAAGTTAAAAAAATGTGAGGTGCAAAATATAGAACCGGGTTCATCTGTGCATGAGAGATAAGTACTTGAATGCGCATACACTCGATCAACTGGACATGATTTTGAGAATATTTGCTCACAATGATTATTAAATGTCTTTGAAAGCTATTGAATTTCTCATACAGTGTCTGTAAATATTTTTTTCACCCAAGCTTTTATAAGCATACATGAAACAGTAGTGTATGTTGCTTATAAAACTGAAGAAAATAAAGGATTTCAAAGGACATGCATGTATTTATGATAAAAAAAAACAAATTTGAAGAAAAAATATTGATCGAACATCCATATTAGCAATACATATCTATGGGGCTCAATATTTTAAAAATAGTCAATTGAATTTTTTTGGACATAGTTTTTATATATCAAAATCTTTCTTAAATTCATGAAAATTTCAATCTAAAATGCATTTTTTCTATCTCCATTTATAAGAGACATATTAATCTATATCTAGAGTGATTTTTCATTGGTAGATATATTTTGGAGTCAGAGATTTTCTTTCCTTTTTTTGACGAAATGTATCATTCTTCCAAAAATAAAATCTCTTTGTCATTTTGAGCCTTTTCAGAAACCTTTACATACGTTTTAGGAAAATAACTTAATTAAAGCATCTGCTAACAATATTGATTAGTTGCACTATTATCCCATATTTTACTTTAAAAATATTCTTTACCTTTTTTATATTTTATATATTTTGATAAGAAATTAAATTAGCTTAAGATTTAAAACCAAATTGCTTATCATTATCTGTAATCCCCCCCCCCCCCTTCAACACCTTTCCAGTCCAAATTTTATCCAGGAATCTTTCATGTTTCATGCTCCACCATTTGCTCGTGTTTAATTAAATTCTTTTCAATTTCAGTTGGGCTATTTTAGAAAAGGCGGAAAAAATTGGCATGTGGAAATAGGATGTTGATAATGTAGTCAGAAGTAGTTTTCTTGTGCTTCGCTTCATTTAGATGGGTCATTATATAAAATCAACAATAGGTTTACTTAAAGGTAGATTGTAGACGACCTTTTGATATGAACAATATATATGACATCCATGGTTTTAAAATAGCTCTTTAGATCATGTAAACATGATTCCATGCCGTTTCGTACATTAATCAACATTTAGATTTCAGGGGATTTTTATCTTCATTAGTTCATAACTAGTTTTTTTTTTTTATCAATTGTCAAAATGCATCATTTCATGTTAATAAATGCTAATAACATCAAAGAAAAAAGAAGAAAAAATTGATTACGCTAATAGCTGTTTATCTGAAAAATAAGATGCTGAGAAATCAGAAATAAGACATTTACCTAATATTATATGAAATAACCTCACCATTATGTTTATTTCATATTTGATATTTAACAAATAAACCAGGTTCATGCTATACAAGATTCCAAGAAATACGAAAAAGAATAACGAAGAAGTCAGAGGCGGCGAAAAATTTTACTACCTAGATGCAAATTCTAATCCGAAAAAATTAAATTTCTATGATGCTGACATTAGAGGACAGACCAACAACTCATTGTATCATACGCTTCAACAAATATACAATGGCGTGAGTTTTTAAAATTTACAATCTTATATTTACATCAACTTTAAATTTTCTGCCTTATTACTCTTAAAACTGATTAATGATTTTTTATGAAACATTTAGCACAATTTACGTAATAATTAGTTCGATCATCTATATGAAATATTTTTAAAGAGCTTCAAGGGTTAAATGCTTCAAGATTCTTCCATCCTTTAAACGTTGGGATTCATTATACAAAATCTTAGGTACTTTTCACCCACTTCAGATGAATAATTTATACAGATATACATGGAAATATAAAGATTTTTTTTATAAACCTTCCTTATATGAGTATCAACATCCAGCTATGCCATCGGAAAGCGAAATGGAAATATCTTTTTTTTTACTTGAATATGTATTGTTATTTTAATCTGTAAATGATATATGAATAAAACGAACAGTAATCAAGCACAAAAGTCCATTGAAGAAATACAGATTTGGAGCAGAGCAAACACGGACAGCTAAAAACATCAGAGCTTGGATAAGATGCAATGGGGGAGTAAGCATCCCTGTCACCGGTCTTACAATGATCGGGCAAACGGAAAAATTTGTAGACAATTCAGTGCAATTGGCCTAACAGTATGTACAAAAAAAACGTCAAGAGTTTACTTTAGTTGTTTGTTTGTTTGTTATCTAACGCCCCTCTCGAGGATTTTTCACTCATATGGAGACGCCACCACCTACCGACAGATGGCTGCAAAAATTTAGACCATACTTGGCAATCATGGCCATAGAGCAGTGAGAGATCTTTTTTCGTACCTGCACCTACTGCGACACGGGTCCTAGGTTTATAGTCTCCGATGGACCGGTTTTCACGTCCCGCAGTGGAATTTGAACCCGCTAGGTAAGGATCAACTCCTTACACTGCGACTCTAGAGCAAACACTCTAACCACTGCACCACGCGGGCGACTTCTTCAGTTGAAATATCCCTGCATGTTTTAGTAGCCCCCATCCTGCCTCTTTTGTCTGTCATACTTGACAATTTAACGTCCATTTCAAGCAAAACTAATATTGATCAGCATAAGATTAATAGTAATCATTTTAATACTAATATTATTCTCCAGTGTTCCAAGTCTAAACTCTATGCAGAATTGATTTTAAAAAGGGTGAATACCTAACATACATGCATCGATATAAAAAATGACGTGTTTGTTAAAAAATATTATTAAATCTCTATTGTCCATCTTAAAAAAATGTTTGCTTGCTCTCTCCCGACCAACTGTCTAAAAATGGCTCAACTCAAAACTTTTTTTAATCTCCAGGAAACATTTTTTTTTTATTCATTCCAAGATTTTTCTCATCCGTTTTAAAACTATCTAACCTTCATATTCGCAACAGTTTTGAGTAAAAAGAAAATACCCTACCTACCTAACTAATCTATTTACATTGAGTCGTGAGAGGGCAAGCAAACAAATTTTTAAAGATGGCCGTACTTAATAAAATTAGATCGTTAGATATGAATTAATCCCTAGAAGTCGTTGTGAATGGACTAATCCGTTAGTCAAGTGAGCTTATCCCAGCTCTGAAAGCTAATTCGCGGTTACCCGTAATCCTCAAAATTTTGCTTCTGTATCAGTATAATAAAACAGTTAAAAAGTATATCGTCGAGGTAGTTAGGAAGATTCCAGTTCCCCTTGCCCAGGACTTTTCCCTCGGCTTCGCCTCGTGCGCCTCTGGAATAGTACCGGTCTTGGGGAACTGGAATCTTGCTAACTTCCTCATTGATATACTTTAAATGTTTACTAATACTGTGGCTGCTCAAAGCCAAAGTTTTTTTTAATGTAGGTCAAACTCCTGGGTCAAGGTTAAGAGGTCGATAATATTACTACCAAAGAAAGGTCTTGTCACAAGGAATACACACGTCATAGCTCCCTCCACTCAGAAATTATGGCCAAGGTTAAAGTTTTACAAAAGTAAGTCATACTCCAAGGTCATGAGGTCAATAATATAAGTACCCAAAGAAAGATTTTATCAAAAGGAATACACATGTGAAATCTGAAAGTCCTAGAACCAATCATTCAGATATTATGACCAAAGTTATTTTTTTTAAAAGAAGGCTATACTCCAAGGTAAAAATTTTGGTACCAAAGAAAAGGTCTTGTTACAAGAAAAAGACAAGTGAAATATAGAAACTGTACCACAAGCGTTCATAAGCTGTGGCCATGATTAAAGGATTTTTTTTTCAAACGTTGGTGAAACTTCGTCAAATAGTAAAATAATTTGGTACCAGACGAAAAGTCCTGTCACTTTTAATACCCAGCAGAAATATAAAAACCCTAGCGCAACCGTTTAAAAGTTATGGACCATGTTAAAGCTTTGTAAAATTTTGCTAAAGTTGGTCAAACTCCAAAGTCAGGGTCAAAAGATCAAATATGTTGATACTAAAAGAAAAGATTTGTCACAAGAAATACGCAGGTGAAATATGAATGCCAAGCTTGAACAGTTCAAAAGTTATAGGCAAGGTTAAATGTTTTGTGGACAAACAGCTGGACAGAGAGAAAGCTGGACAGAGAGACGCACAGACCAAAAACTATATGCTCCCGAGTCTTTGATTGCCGGGGCATAGAATCATGACAAAATCAAACCAGAATCAAATGTTGTTGGAATTAATCATTTAATATCAAGCATTAATTACATGTACTTTCAATTAGATTGTAATTCTAGGTTGTAAATGGGGTGTATTCGCTGTTAACCGACAAAAACCTGGTTCATAAATTCATAAACTGGAAGGACTAAGAATTGCAAAATTAAGTCAGTTCTTTAACAATAGTTTTTTTGTCAAGTAATTTTCTGAAAATTATATTATAAGAACGGATAGCTGAATTTCGATTTAACACAGAAATTGTATTGCATCCATGATATATGCGTTATATGGACAATGGTACCACGTACAGTGGAGATTTAAAAAAAAAATTGTGTTAGACTTGTATTTTTCATATTCTGAATTTATATAGCTTCAAGTCTATGACCTTAAAAACGGCAATTTTTTTCTTTCGTGAATTTAAATGATTTTTTACGTTGTTTTGCAATTGTATTTTAATCATGTATTGTAACCTATTTTTGCTATAATTTTTCAAAGATTGAATTTCGGATTTCTAATCTCGAAATGTAGAATGAGAAGAATAATTTAATTTTTTTTAATCTTGAATCCCGAATGTTGGACTTTCGTAGCTTGAAAATGACAAAAGGTGAAGAAAAATGAACAGAGTTCAAACAAACAACAATGATCGATCTAAAAAAAAAATCTACAAACAATACAAATCTGGGAATGGGGCATAAGAGAAGGATCCCTGGAAATTCAGGTGGGAACGAGTGCCTTGGAGGAATAAGCTTCCCCTGTCAACCGGTCTCACTCGCCGTGAGCCCTATGTATTGATCAGGTTGACGTAATATTTCGTAGTAAATTTAATAAACAAACAATTGCCTAACAAAAGTTATGAAAAGAGTGAGCCAAATACAACCGATTGATTGAGCATATTTGATAACAAGGTCATTATAACGACCATAGAATTTACAAAATGCAAAGATTTGCATAATAAAAAGAACAAACACCACTGTTTTGTATTTAATGCTTTAAAGTTGCATAAGTTTGTATCTTAACAGATATGAATTAATAAGGAATTTTAAGTCTGTGTTTGGGTCATTCAGATGGACGACGTCCTTATTCCCCCTAACGAGAATATACATATCAAATTATTGATTTAATAACAATCTCGTTTAAAGTCAACATTTTCAAGTTCTATTATCAATACAATGACCTAATTTGCAAATACAATTTATAGTTAAGTCGAGTATCATCGAACGTATTTTAAAAAAATGTTAGCCTAAAGCCATTTTTTCACACTGAATTCACTACCAATTTTTTCCCGTTTACCCGATCGTGACAAGGAGCCTTCATGTGTGTGTCGGGTCAACATATGTTCATTCCTTCATGGCACCTGATCCAACCTCTATTTTCAGAGGTCATTGTTTGCTCTTCTCACAATTTGTGTTGTTTTTTTTGTAATTTAAGTCTGATTACTGTTCCCTAACTTCAAATTTCACTACTCATTTAATTTATAATTTTGCTTTTTCTTATTAATGAAGAGTTTATTGAACATGCATCATCAAGAACTCTTTTTTTTTTTATTTGTTTATTGATTTTTTTAACAGGAATCAACGAAACATGCGATATATAACGATCAGCCACCAGAGTCGAAAACTTGCAAAAATTTCAAAGAAAGTGGACACCTTAAAGGTTAATATATTATCCAATTCATCGTTAAAGTAAAGTATTTCAATATTCTCGGGATTTTCTCTCGATCTTGAAATTTTTATCACTGACCAAATATATACGCCACAAAGATATGAAATTAAGTCAAACCTATGAAATTTCTGAAATCCTTTACAGACAATATGAGGGAAAGATTACTAGGTTTCACTAAAAATACAATGTATACAAACACATAGCTAACCTTCTCGCACTCCATTTGATGCAAAATTTATATTTTTACTATTAGGAGCAACGGCTTTCAACAAAGAGGAAGGATTTTGGATGATTTCGAGCATACCTAGATTTCCACTTCCAAAAAAGTACGAGTATGGAGGTGGTCAACTCCTATTTGGACAGTCAGTGCTTTGCATAACATTTGGGAAAAATTATCTTGACAAGATAGGTAATAAATAAACAATAAATAAATAAATATATAACAATAAAAACATGCACTGCCAGGTATTCAAGATTTTAATTACCCTCATTGTCCTTCATCAGAAAAAAAAATTGACAATCTCCGTAAATGGAGAAGATCAACGCATATATTGACAATCCGTGCTTTGCATTATATTTGAAAGAATATATTTTGACATGATTTGTAATACATGTAACTAAAAGAACTCAAAACTTTTCCACTTGTTGAAAAGTAAATGCCAATTCAAATACATTATCCCCTTCGTCTTACATATCAATAAAAAAAAAAGAAAAGAAAGAAAAGAATTACAATCTCTATCGTAATTTAAAATTTCTCTTTTATAATTAACGATATGCATCAAGTAAGATGAAGCTGCATATCAAATAGAGGTCACCCACGAGGCGCAGTGATCAGAGCGTTTGCTCTAGAGTCGCGGAGTAAGAAATTGATCCTTACGTCAGGGGTTAGAATCCCATTATGGAACGAGGAGACCGGTCTTTCGGATAGGACGTATAAACCGAGGTCCCGTGTCGCATTAGTTGCTGACACGAAAAAAGATCCCTCAATGCTCAATGGCCCTGAGTGCCGAGTATAGGTCTAAAGAGTTGGGTTCACTTGGGACCTTTTTTAGCCCTGTGAATTTCTGAAAATTCAAAACTGCTTGGTTTTAGTTGATAATATCACTTTGACCAATGGTGATTGCTTATCTATTGAGATTGACAAAATTTTCTCGCTAGTAGATGTATTATGACGTCATGAATTGAGTCATTATTCCCATATCCTGAAAAATCTTCAAAAATGGCTAAAAGATGATGCTGTTTATCAATATTTCGTATACAGCACAACCTCTGACCTAATATCTGCAATTATATAATGAAAGAAATGATCCTGAAGATTATAATACGTTTTTTCCCTAATTTTTTGGACCGAGGTCTGTGCTCATATTTTATTTTTTGCTGTAGGTACTCAAATACACTGTTTTTCTGCAAAATATAAGATCATTGAAATTTCACACAGTCCGTTTTCCAATACCTGGACTCTTAGAGGAGACATTGTTATAGGAAATGAAAGCACTAAAAAGCACTAAGTTTCTACTTTATATTCATGTTGAAAATGGGACATAGGTTTTGGTCAATAAATTTGTATATCTACAGGGCCATTTTTTGCTTAAAGTGAACCTAGCTCTTTGCAGCCCTCCACCAGCATGTAGTGGCGTGCCAATATGAGTGAAAAAGGGACGTTAAACAAAAACTAACAAACAAACATAATTATCAGACAGTGATTTTTTTGCTTCATTTACTGATAGGAACTATAATCGGTTTCATTTGCTAAAAAAAACCAAATCAAAACACATGAATGATTTTTTTCCAAATTCTTTTACAGAAAATTAAATTTTTTCCTCTCGTATTTTATTCCTATCGACGGATTCTTTTTCCTTTCCTTTATTAAACAATGTCACTGTTTTAGAGTGCATGAAACTTATAAAAGCACTCAACACCCGGCCTAGGGATCGTTACAGTTGGACTCCGATATCTTGAATTTTAACCCCGTTCCGTCGAATCCTCGGATATTTCGAATTTTAATCGTGTTTTTGTCCTGTTTGTGATAATGATGTTTGGTTAATTGCTTTCACTATTCGTTTTCCCACATTCTCCATTAAGACAATGTAATTCTTTGGAAGATTGTAGTAGAGTTCTATGAATACATAGAGAATATTACATACTAAAATCCATATCATATGTCATATCAGCCCGAGTGGCCGCATATCAGCCCGAGGGCTGATATCGGACTCGAGGGTTGAAATTACATATCAATATTATGATTTTGATATGGATTTCAGCATGTAGTTTTCTATTTATCATATATTTGAAATATTTAATATGCGAGTTCACGTAAAGTCATTTAAGAATATTTCGTGTATGTTTATGACCTTTTTCTTTACAATCTAATAGCACCAATTTTAGCTCTTTGAAAACAAATTAAGTCCACAAATTTTAGTAAAGAATTATATTACATGTCTATTTAAATAAAATGAAGTTTATGAATTTTTAAACTAAAAAAAACATTACTTCCGGTTTGATATGGATTCTTGCACGCCGGTCCGATACGTGATATGGATTTTCGGACTGGTAATTGATGAGGGGTATTGTGACGTCACCCGTATCGCACAATGCGGAATCTGTGCATTTACAACTAAGTGTATGATAACTTTTTATTGCCCTATCTGAAAGAAGCATACCATTCGTCCAAAAGTTTGTTAATCATAAGCATTTATTGATAAATATAATTTAGACGAAGGAAGTAAATCAAGTATGTGCTACTTAACTACCATTCTGTGTTTAGTTTTAAAATTAATTTATGTTTCTTTTTCATTATAAGAAGGACTTTAACAAACTCTAGTACAAAAAATTGTTATGATTTATTCTATTACCTCGTTATTCATTGAAACTTGTCAAGTCCGTTTGTTGTGTATTCCGAAATCTTGCCAAAGATGATGTAAGCTTTTTAAGTCTGATTGTTTAAAATGTTGTCTAATGCGGAATATTGTCTCATCCGGCCAATTTCCTTGGAACCAGTGATGTCCGGATTAGAAAAAAATTCACTTTAATCTATAGAAACATAAAAAAACATTTTTTGTTCAAATTTCACCTTATAAAATCACTTAAAATTGGAAGAATCTCTATCAGACTTACATAATCCATTACCTTTCAACAGGTCAGCTATTTTGTAGATTTTTTAATTCAAAAAAAAAAAAAAAAAAAAAAGAAAAAAAAAAGGAAAAAAAACTATCAATTTAACATTTTTTTGCCTTACATAGTAGAAGCATTCAGCATTACTAAACCATGTATCTATGATGGGAACATTACGTTTGGGATGTCATCCGATTTAAGTAAAGAGTTTCTGTTTACATCAAAAGGAGGAACAACGTTTAGATATTTCGGGAAATCAAATAACTATAAAGGAGGTAAATATACATGTATTTAAACCAGTATAAAAATATATTTTTGAAAGATATATTTACAAGTATATATCAATGAAATGCATTTTCCTCAAGGCATAATTTGCTGTTTAAATAATGACAAGGATGTCTTTTAAATATTTTCATTAAAACTTTACTTTTACAGACTTGTATGCGAACTTCGTTGCAGAAAAGTTGATGGATAATTTAAAGGTTGAAACCTGGCGTTCTGAAGACATAGATGGATTTTCGTCGTCATGCGGTGACTACAAGGCAAATAATTCCTTTCTTCCTCTTTTCTTAATTAATTAGTTAATAATTTACTTGTTTATTTATTATTTATCTATTAACGACTTGTTCGTAGTATTTCACCGTTCACGGTAGCTCAGTCGGTAGAGCGCTCCTCCGTGATCGGGAAGTCGTGAGTTCGAATCTCGACTGACCTAAGTCGATAAAAAAAAAAATAATTGGGTAGCAACTGTTCCTTCGCCATGTGCTCGGCACTTTGAAGTGAAAGTTGCGGATCCTTCGGATGAGACCTTAAAAACCGAGGCCCAAGTGTCACGGCAGGCGTTGGCACGATAAAGATTCCTCACTTCTCAATGGCCCTGAGTGCCGAGTAAACGTCAAAATTTGAAGCCCTTCACCGGTATATGGTGACGTCTCTATATGAGTGAAAAATTCTCGAATGGGACTAAATCTACATACAATTAATCAATCAATCGTAGTATTTCTTTGTGCCTGGATGTATTGTCCATGCTTTTTTAGTCGCACTTTCAAAATTATCAAAGAATTAGAGTCAAAAAATTTCATCTCCGCTCCCGATCCTTATCCCCTCATCTCCCTCTTAATTGATTAAGTGAGTACATTGCTGCCATCTAGCAGGTTTATATGTTAACGTCCTTGTCGACAAAAACTTCAAGTCAATCAGATTTGCATACTACTTAATGTTTATAAAAAAAATCCACGAAGGACAAGAAAAAAGAGAGATATGAAGGGATACGAATCGCACACTTGGCTAGCGAAACTGCAAATATTTATCAAAATTATTTTTTTTTCTTTTGAAGTTGTGTTTGCATGCAATGCAAATGAAATAACTTAGTAGAGCACCAAAACGAATGTTCATGAAATAAGATATACATAAATTAACAGTTTTATCATAATTGTATGGACTTATCATGGAGTAATTCCACAGTCATTTACAATAGATATCTCACTGTTCCTATCCTCAATTTTGTTCAATTTCACCTGCTTTGAAAATAATATTCATTTTCTAACTTACCTACTCTATCATTCTCTCTTTGGTTATATCTACAATCAGAAATCCTGTGGAAAAGAGCCCCAATAGAAAATTACACTATTATATTGATATAGAAAATACATTTCTTAAAGCAGATTATGAGGTTGAATGAAAGGAACTGAACATAAAAGGTGAGGCCGTTTAAATATCTTCTCAAGAACCACCGGACAGAAAAGATGAGACCTATATGAAAGCTTTCTGAGACAGTGTAGATTCACGTTTGTTCAAATCAGGACCCCCAAGGGGTAGGGTGGGGCTACGGTGATCAAAGTTTCACATGGGAATATATATATATATATATATATATATATATATATATATATATATATATATATATATATATATATATATATATATATATATATATATATATATATATATATATATATGAAAAATATTTCAAGATCTTCTTTTTCAGAACAGCAAAACCATGATCAGACAATTATATGGAAGCAACTTTAGGTGGTTTAGATTCAAGCTTAAACCCCGGGGGTGGAGCGGTAGGGTGTGGCAATTATGGGCGATCAATGTTTCACACGAGTATAAATAGGAAAAATCATTAAAAATCTTCTAAAGATTAGAAAAGGCATAATTAATATTTATATGGAAGCATCCTCAGGTAGTGCAGATTAAAGTTGGTTCAAATCATGACCCCCAAGGGGAATTTGGCGCTACAATGGGTAATCAAAGTTTTATATGAGAATAAATAGGAAAACTCATCTTCTCAAGAACATGAATGGAAAGCCTTGAATAATCATATATTGATATGGAAGCATCCTGGTTTTTGTAGATTCAAGTTGGTTGAAATCATGACCCATGGGGGTAGGGTGGTACTAAAATGGGGATCAAAGTTTTACATGGACATAAAAATATATGGGAAAAATCTTTAAAATCTTCTTCTCAAAAACAGCAAAGTTATGATCTTATTTATATGGAAGCATCCACAGGTGGTGTATGTTCAGTTTTGTTTAATTTATACCCGGGGGTAGAGTGGGACCACCGTGGGCAATCAAAGATTTACATAGTGTAAAAAAAATTGCTCAAAAACAGCAAAGCCATGATCAGTCATATTTATAAGCATCCTCAGAAAGTGTACATTTAAGTTTGTTAAAGTAATGACCCACGGGGGATAGAATTGGGCTGCAATAGGTTTTACATAGAAATAAATAAAAAAAAAAAAACAAGAATCTGCTGATGGACAAAAAGGGCCATATTTACTTAGGTAAGCGTTGTGGCCCGTGGACCTCTTGTTTATTTTTATTTCTGTTTTGTTTTGTTTCTTTTTTTTTCGCTTTTGGTTTGTTGAATATTTATTTTTGATCCTTAGTTAAAGTTATTGTAAAAAAAAAACAAACAAACAAATTAAAAAAAAAACAACAACAAAAACAAACAATCAAACAAAAAACAAAACAGTAGAGAACCAAAAAATCTATAAATAAAGGTTGTTTTTTTTCTTTATAAAACCTACAATTATTTTTATAAGAGAAACACCTTCATTCTTAAGTCCTAATAATGACATTCTGATGTTTTTTGTTTGTTTGTTTGTTTTTATTTATACAAAATGTCCGCAATTCACTTTCTCAGGTCAGGATAAAAATTGCAGATCATTGTTAGCAAGCATATATTGTCATCTATCGTGCAGTATATGGACTATATAAACTTGTCATAATATAGGTATGGATACTTTTATATGGATATATATGGATACTTTTTCCAGATTAGGCAAGCATTCACTATAAATGTGGCTATATGATACGTGTTATATGATAACTCGCATGGATTATATTTTAAGGTTTTGAATGTCAAAGAAGTTATCTTCAATGATGGGTTTGAATTCAGATCTTCGAAAGATCATTCAAAATGGGCAGTAACAGAAAAAAAATCCTGGATATGTATCGGAGATTTGAACAGAGCGGTGAGTTATATCTATCCTATAATCAGATGATAGTTATAATGTAATCAGGAATCAGGGAATAACTTATCTTTAAAATGGTGTACTGAAATAAAGTGGATTTGGTTGATCAAGTAATTTATGTGGAGTTTGATTGAGTATCTCTTTTAGCTCATCTGTTACGTCTTCATTTCAATAATTACCTTTCTGGGCAAGTTCTATGGTCGATACAATGGCCTTGTCAGCAAATACAATCTTTCATTTAGTCGAATGACGTTTTTCATACTAGTTGTTAGGCCATTATTTACACATTGAATTGTCTATGGATTTTCCTTTTTTCCCGATCATGAAAAGTAGCACACGGCGGGTGTGACCGGTCTACACGGGATTTTTACTCCTCCATGGCACATAACCCCACCTCTGATGTTTTAAGAGGTCTGTGTTTGCTCTCCTCCCGATTAGTATTGTTTCAATGGACTTTTAAACGATATTAGATTAACGAGACAAGTACAATAGTCTCTGATTGGCTTATTTATGGAAGGGAATTCTTTGCGAAAGTAAGATTCTCATTTACTTTGCTATCATTTAACAAGTAAACATGAAGATTAATGTACCCTTTTCTTTCCTCCCCCTTAAACCCTCATGTTTAAATCCACTATTGTTCCACTTTCTATTTTATACGAATATGTTTTGTCATCCACTCTGCGATGCTTTCAAAAATGTAGTATCAAGAAACACTTCAGATTTTTCTATCATGTATGTAGTAGGGACCCAATGGACAATTGTTTGATAAATAATTATAGAACCCTTAAATATCAATCATAACTTTCTTTTCAGGACTCTCAGTGTAAACGAGGTGGGGGAACAATGTGCCTAGAACATAAGGACGTCTCAGAACATTATAGAAGTTTGATTAAGTCGTACGAAGAATGTGGCAACAAAAGACAGAAGTCAGATTGCTCCTTTGATGACAATTATCCAAGAAAAAGAAGCAAAGTTTGCCCCAAGGCATAATATTTCTCAAGAAATCTTCAACTATTCTTACATGGACTTTAGAAACGTAACAGTGGAAAACTTTATCTAATATTAATTATCTCATTCAATAAACAAAACCCTTCTGCTATATAATGATTTCTTTTATATTCATGGCTAAAATCCTTTCATCATCATTATTATTTCTTGAGGGGCTATAGTTTAATTGATACTAAAATAAGTTACTCAAAAATATGGTTTGGTAACTTATGTCTGGTATGCCTACGATAACAGTACTGTTGATGGTGTGGCACACATGTCTTCCAATTTTATTGCAACATATTTATTTGAGTACAATGTACCAGTCCGTCGAAATCTTGCGGCGTCTGGGGTTCCTCCTAATAGAAATTTAGTCCATTTTCTCAACTATGCTGCTGCATCAATAGCGCTAAAACAAGCTGAAGGATATCAGAATATACTATCAGAGGGATCGAGAAGATTTTTTGATTCAAGAATGTAAACATAAATGTAAAAATGATCATGGCTTAAGGATGGATTCTTGACAGAATTTTTTGTCGTCGATGGTTGGTCATACATTATGCATGTCGAAAAAAGCAACATTTCATAATTAATTGCAATTTATGATATACTACTGAATGATTAATCATTTTAAGCAATGGATTATCTATTTTTATTCAAATAAATAAATTCGCCCTTGTGGCGCAGTGGTTAGATCTTTTTCTCTAGAGTCGCGGAGTTGATTCTTACGTTGCGGGTTCGAATCCACTATGTGACGTGAAGACCGGTCCTTTGGATGAGACCGTATAAACAGAGGTTCCTTGTCCCAGTAGGCGCTGGAACGAGAAAAATTCCTTACTGCTCAAAGGGCGTTAGTACCAAGTACATGTCTATTTTTTAGCCCTCTACCGGCAATTAGTGGCGTCTCAATATGGATGAAAAAAATTGAAGGGACGTTGAACAAACAAACAAACTCTTTGGGAGGTAAAGTATCATCCAGTTATGCAAAGCTATGTGTTTATAATAGTATTTAAAACTAAATCACTTTCTTTTTCACACAGGTGTTTAATTGCCTATTTCTCCGGTTACCTATGCGTTTAAGAACACAATTATATGCATATTTTCCTGTATATTTCGTTAAAATCGATTTCTGTGGTCAGTAATACTGACTACAAATCTGTACTCCTCTAAAACAAGATCAGTGTTTGTCCCTTCACTTTAAATAACACTCAATATCGATTATATGGAATTTTTGTAGCATTATGCATTTATGATAGGATCCCATGGTATTTTGTCATTCGAGAACTGTTCTAGAATGAAGAGATATCATGCCAATTTTAAAATCGGCGTTGTTTTTTTTTTTGTTTTGTTTTGTTTTTTGTTTTTTTGTTTTGTTTTGTTTTTTTACAACAGAGGGAAATTAGTTCCGCACATTACCTTGGCGTCTGCACGTTTGTTGAACTAAATTCTGTAGCTCGATTTTTTTGTTTTATTTTTAACTTATCAAAAGAAATATGAAAAGTCTTTTACTCTTACTCGTGTCCTTTCGTTTGTATGTCTCTCTCCAAGAAATCTAAAATATCGAAAATGAAAAAGTGGACCTAAATTCTTAGGGCGAAAAAATTGTCCGAAATTGAGGTAATCAGTGATAGATCAGAGATGCTGATTTTTTTTTTTATTGTGAAGACAGAACACTTTCCATATATCTAAATAATTTGTTTATCACAAATGCTAGGAAGAATGAACAAACTTGTGCTTAAAAGATTTATTTATTTAAAGTTACATAATGAGTCAAAGTCATATGTTTCTTTTAAGATATCAATATTATATAGCGATAGATTTATAAAAATATGAGTATAGCAAAGATATGACAAACTCAAATGTACTGTAAAGCAAGAAAAGACTGAACAACATAAATGCCAAAAAAACAAAGGTTGCATCTACCGTTTCTTTGTTATCGTGTATGTCAAATTTTCTGCGCATGCATACAATAGGGAGGAAGAAGGGAAGCAATATTTATGTCTTGGGTCAGACATTTTTTTTCTCGATAAAGAATAGATTTTTAAGGTTCTGAAACCTGTAATTTTCTGAAACCTAATATTTTCAGAGAACTGCAAGTGTCATGTCAAAATTCTATTTTTGTCAATTTTCCTGTTTGTGCGCCACGATGTCACTTCAAGGTTGGAGTAACTGGTCGCGGTGACATGATTTTAACAAAATTTGAGAAGTTTGTTTCAAGTATGTTTGATAATGAGATAAAATTTGAGCGAAATCAAATAATTGAGAGTGATTAAGGAAAATTATCGCCTAACTTAAGAAAATCTACAAGACAAAACATTTTTCTTGCACGAAACCAACATTCCATTTTTGACATTTTAAGGGCACTCTATACACCAATGAAAACGTTTTTTGGACCTTGAAAAAATTATATTGTATAAAGTTATATAAAGATAATGAGTTTTCAACATAGGGTGCCTGCTATTCTGCCCCAGGATAAAATGCTAAAAGAGAATTAGGTCTTGATAAACGAAATTCAGTGTTTCGTACTTAAATTGGGAAAACACATAGAAATGAAGTATGCAGTGCCTTCATCCAGTTCGAATAAAATGTTAAGAATATTTAAATTGATAACAGAGTGTATATTATACCATAAAAATTCAATTCAGTTTATTCAATTTCAAATTAAAAGGGCACATAATTCTAATTGCATAGAATACCATAAAACTATGACTCTTTACTATGCAGTGTATACAGAGTTGTTAATCCCCTGTGCGAATTCGCTGTGTATTTTGTAAGATTCTAACCTGAAAAAAGGTTCCTACCTTATCAATAAACAAAAAAAGTCGTGCCCTGTTTTTCACCGTAGTTGAGGTACTTGATTGAAAAAAGAATGCAACTCCTGAAACTCAATTGCAAATGAACTTTTTTCGCTCTATATTTAATTGACTTGATACCATTGCTGAGCAAGTAAAACAAAATTTGATTTTAATTGATTCAGAATGTAACCTTATTACAACATCTGCAAAAGTTTTGCATACTTGTGTACACTTCTTTGTAATTTGTTTGAATAGAATATTGTAAAAGACAATATATAGAGAGAGTACAGGAATAAACTGTGCCATTCAGCCCCTTAAATAATCATAGAAAAAACCTGGAAAATTAGCTGCCATTCAGTCACCTTTCAGTAAATGTTTAGTCACCTTAGAATTACTTGAATTAGCCCCCCCCCCCTTTTGTGACCGAATATATACATAACATTAATGAATAAAATTTTTGGTGTGGGATTTTGCATTAAATATACCTTAAATATCGATACAATTAGTCAAAAAACTGTTCCAAAAACTTCTTAAACTTGAGAGCTTCCAGGGTTTCGCCTCCCTGAGCCACCTCACCCACTCCCAACCCAAACCCTCCCTTTTTCAAGAATCCTGGATTCGCCATTGAGTTTTATCCGGTGGAATATACCAAGGTTGTTTAAGGAGTGTCAGATTGATGTGGTAAGTTTAGTTCAAATTTTATCAAGAACTTGAATTAAGTTTTTCGTACAAAAGTCATATCACAAACATTGACACACGTATAAAAAATGCAGCAAAGCAGGTGTTGATTAACAAAATATGTCAAAATCTGGGATTTTTGAAGTTGATATTGAACTAAATTGGTTCTGCTATATAAACTTATGATAATATTTTTGTTTACCGATATACAAATGTGTTCATCATTTTTATTTCAATGAACAAAAAACGCTTCAATTCAATATGTTTTAAATATTTAAATAGCGTACATTATTCTTTCTATGATAAAACGACAAAAATAAACTCAAACATCCCGTTTTGATTTTAGAAATCTTCGTCCATTTTGAATTTTGCATGCGTAAGTTTCTCTGGTTTTTGAAAAAGAGTAGGCTAACTAGGGGTCGCCAGAGAAACTGAAAAGTTTCAAAAAGTGTCATGTTAATTAAATTTAATTGCCTATATAGCTGAAATACTGCCGACTCAGTGTTAAACAATAATCAGTCTATCTATCAACCCGTTTTAATTTCAGAAATAAGCAATGGCTATATTTCTAAACAAAATAACATGAGATCTAATTAATGTTTTAATTTCCGTGTATCAAATCTCAATATTTCTTCATGTAGATTTCATTGTATTTGGCAAATATGATAAAAGAGGAAAAAAATTAACAGCATGCAAGAGATGCCTGATTTGTTATCAAAAAAGTGTCATATAGCACAGAATATGTTTACTTAAATATTTAAATATATTATACCGAAAAGGAAAGGTTAGTTATCCAATGCTGCATGAGAGTGGTCTATCATTACTTATTTAGTACATGCTCCTTTGGAAAATATTAGTGAACATTTAGAAAAATCGATCAGTGGCTTAATAAAAATGATATAGTTATAGTTTCTCTCATATTTATTGATCAAGGGAATGATAATAAATCAATTTGGCTTTTTTATAACATAATAATATCAATATGCATGTATTTTTCTTTAAAACATATGCAGACAAATCAATCAATGTTAATTATACATCATGCAAATGAAATTCTTGCGTGTAGAGAGATAAAAAATAATAAGGAATAAATTCTGGAAACCTTAAATTGATATTAATAAAAGTGTTATTTAAAATGTAGGTAAATCTATTAACCCGAAACATGCTATTTATTGTAACATGGAAATTCAGATTGTTTCTCGAAAATTCAATTGCTAAGGTCTGCAAACAATTTTAGTAATATAGAAGAGAATGATCTGCTTTTCCAAATGCTGGTATAATAGTATATTGACGTATCTTTTAAAATGTAAACCAAGGTTACATGTATCAAGACGATCTACAATCTCTAGGATTATGATAAATGGTCTTTTAAACAATTTACGTTGATTACTGTTTGCAAAGATTTTGCAGCCAGTAGATAGGGATTCATACATGTACATGTAGATAAATCGACAATAGCTGAAAAAAAGTAGATACAGGGATCTTTCTAGGCATTAAATGTATATTTCATATTACATTTAATTATCTTTACTTTATTATATTCCAATATACCTCATTCATGCTAGTATTTAAAGACAACATAAATTATCATTTCTGTTAAA